ACCTAAATGTTGGTGTCGTAGTTGATGAGTACCATTCAGAAAAACACACACACACACACACACACACACACACACACACACACACACACACACACACACACTGCACAGTCCTGTACAATCACAACTTTGTTACTTAAAGAGGCAGAGATAACACAGGTTTAAAAGTTTGGTTAAATATTTGTTGTCAAACAGATCTCTGGTTTGTTATTTTTATACACAATTAATTTAGTTGAGGCCAAATCAATCAATCAATCATCAATCAATCAATCATCAATCAATCAATCAATCAATCAATCAATCAATCAATCAATCTTCCTCATTCTAACATACAAACACATTTTCATTTAACACGTACATCTATGAGTGAAAAGGGAGCAGGAAGAAGAAAACCTTGTATAAACCTGCTCCTTTTTTAATAATTACATTAAAATTTTCATACATGAAATCACAAACAGAATCTGCAAACAGTATGTCATTCTCCTCATTAACTCAAAACTGTATAAGACTTAATCATTTTTTCTTTATAAAGGATTTTAAATTGATTTAAAGTAGAACATTTTTTCAAATCTTCATCCAAACTCTTCCATAATTTTACCCCGTAAACTAAAATACACATTTGGTTTAAAGTAGTACGCACAGTTTTACTTTTAAAATCATATTTTCTTTGGTTATTTCTGTCATTTTAAGACAAAAAACTTTTGTAAATTAATTGGCAATAATGTCTTACTTTAAACATAATTAATAAAATTTTAAATTAACTAAATCCCGTAGTTTCAAGATGTTTGTTTGAATAAAAAATTGTTTTTTAAACTTTACAAAGTCCACAGAGCTGAAAGGCATTTGTCCTGTACTTTCTCACATTAGACATTTGTAATAAGACAATAAGTGAGAGACAGGTTTACTAATATTATCTGTGAGATTCATCTGCTGCTCCAACAGACAAACATCTTCCAAGAATATATCAAAGTAAAATTATATTTAGAAAAATACAACAAATTAAAGAAAACAAATGCAGACAATATGGCCTGTAACTGGTTGTATAGTGTTATTTACTGGTACATCTGTATATGTGATGATATTTTATATTTATCTAATGTTTTATTTCTATTTTCATTATCAGTACTTGCTGTAACATTTTGACCCTTTGAGCTGTGTACCTGTTTGCTGCTGCAGGAATATAATCTAATCTGACAACTGTCCACAAAGATTAACAGCTCTGCAGAATATGACCAAGTGTGGAAATGTAAATAAATAAGAAAATAAAAATAAATAATAAAAGAAAATGTAAATAATAAAATAAGTGTGAACATGTAATGTGAGCTTTGCAGAAAGCAGCAGTCAGTCCAGTTAGAGGGGATGCATGAAGGGTTTCAGCTGTCACATCTTCATAAGATGACTTTGATTGTTCACAGGAAGTTAGTGTTGTGTACAAACACTGCCTGCTGCATGGTCCAACATCCATAACCATAATATTACATTTACACTTAAACATCACTTTAATAGATGCTGATCAAAAGTAAAACAAAGCCCATAGTAAAACAGTTTAAAGTCTTAAAAAACTGTTAGATGAATCCATGTATGGTTCGATCTTTGGTTTCTTCGTTTCAAAATAAAATTTCAAAAACAAAACAAGCACGTGATTTTTTGTTTTTCTGTTTTCAAAACAAAATTAGAAAAATGGCAATTGCAACACTAAAAAAGGAGTATATTTTTTATTTACTGCAATGGTTAAACCAAAGACAAGCTTTGACATTGAACTGCTGTTTATCCC